GTGTGTGTGTGTGTGTGTGTGTGTGTGTGTGTGTGTGTGTGCGTGCGTGTGCACATAAATTTGTCTTACGTTTCTGGCATTCCCAATTTTCTGCAAACTCCTCGAAAAATCGTTAAAAAAATGCCTAGTATTCTTGGCGTTTCACTTTACATGCCAGGAATTGCGACCCCCTTACGTTCATTCATTCATTCTTTTCGGTGGCAAATTGACATTGGCATGTGCCAACGAGTCAAACCCGACATCAGCTTGCTTGAAGAAGCCATCGACAGTCTTGCCAACAGCTGGTTGCTACTACCACTCGTGCCGCCTCTCGATTTTCTACACCCTTCTCGAAAGTGAATACGGAAGCGGGTTTTAAATTTAGCCAGTTTATGAAAGCCTGCGGAAAATGTTTAAGAAAAAAAAACTCCCTTCCCCGTGCTAGCTCTCAATAAACAGCACAAAAAAATTTTGCTAAGGGAGTTGTCACTGATTGATCTTGTTTTTTCACGGGCGCATTTCTTAAGGGCCGTTGTATTTTCAGTTTGCGAGGTATGAGGCCGTGCCACAAGTACCACTGGAGGTGTACAAAAGAGCAGTTACTCTTAAAGGGATTGTGCGCGCCGTTCATTCGAATGGTTACCTAAAAGTGGAACATCAGCCAACCTTCACAATGCCTTCCTTTCTTTCAAGGAGGAAACGTGTCCAGGTAGTCTTGTGCTGCATTCTTATATCGGCAGAACGAAACAAAAAGCATCCGAACTTATATTTCATTGTATTCATTTCTTCGACCAAATTCCGTGTTTTTTTTTACAAAAATTTTTAATTTAAGACTTTCGGTTTTTATGCGTTTTTGCGTATGTACAAATTGCAAAAAGGAATATTGGCAGGAGGCTGTCTGTGTGTTCGCACTTTTTGTCACCCGCTTTCAATTTGAGAACCAGAAAAGCTAAAAGACTGAAACTTTGGGAGTGTATGCCCACACCATGCACGACCCTCCTATTTCACTATCATCGTCCGCTTACATCTGGGTGCCGCGTACGAACGTCTTAAAAAATAAATTTTTTGGCAGGAAAGCGATTTCGGGAACCAGAAAAGGTAAGGGGCTGGAGCTTTGCAAGGGTATTCCCTGTGCATTTATGAGCTAAAAAATTCAAATTCAGCCTCCAATTACGTGTGGTACTCACGTAAGGGCGTATGAATGTTTTGGCTGGAAAATTACTAACTCGAGAGCCAGAAAAGCTGGGAAGCTGAAATTTTGGAATAATGTTCCCTGTCCAAGTACAACTTAAGTATTTCAAATTCAGTCTTGAGGCATGCGTGGTTTTCACGTACGGGCGCTTAAAAGTTTTGGCGGGAAAATTTCTCACTGAACAGTTGGATTACTTTTAAAGAACGATCATTGAAAATGGAAGTTGTTTATTTACTTTATGCAAAATCTAGGTAATTTACTCTAGTGAGCGTAAAAGGTAGGTGTAAAGCAACAACTATTCATGCAGTTATTGACCTGAGTGCTTCAAGTCTGATGCAAAAACGCATGATCGCACCGGTAAGCCTAGTGCGTTTCTGCCTGTGTATCAGTTTGTATATGGAGCAGATGCGGTAGGGGAACCCCGGATGGACAAGTTAGAAAGCGAAGACCTGTAGTTTATTGTACGGAGGAGAGTGTAGACGTCGGTCATCGTCGAAGACACCAACATCGTTTTGCCTAGGAAGCCGGAGAAAGCGTGGCAGAGGTAAAGGGAAGGGGGCAACCGATTGGGGGCACCATCAAAGTTTTACGCTGAAAACATGAAATGCTGAGTTCCTTGACTGCAAATTTTAATATTTTTCTGTGGAAGATGTTTGTATAAGCAATCACATGAAGTAAAGTTGGACCCTCGTTTGCCGGCTTTTCGTTGGTTTTCGCACCACTCCTCGTTATGGCCTTCATTCGTTCGTACATCATCGTCATAATTTGTCGCCTGTCTGAGCAGTTAAATTTTGAATCAGTTTGGCTCATTTTACCCTTAATTCTGTTTAGTTTAATTCTGATTTCCACTTACGTCCATTTCAGTTCATGCTCAAACTTTTCTGTGTGTTGGGGGCCAAATCTACCCACATTTTCACCCTGGTTTTTAGGTTAAGCTGACAGCATCGGTCTTAGCGTTTGTCGCTGTAAAAGTAGGGTCTGTGTCTATTAACTTGACCTACAAATTGTACGGAAAGTACGAAGTGGGAAGCACTTACAAACACCAAAATTTTCAGCGAATAAAAAATTCATGAATCAGTCCGCGCAGGAAAAGTTATGCAAGTCGTATTTTTGGACTGATTGGGACTAGCACTGGAATAGCGCCTAGAAAAGAGGGCCAGTGGTGAACAGTGTAGTTTACATAAAAATGCTGACCAGCAAGCTAAAATTAGCCATAAGCATCAAGCGTGGGAGGTATAATTATGTACGACCGTCTGAGTTGCTAAAACTATCGAGCAACTAGATTTTCGGCTCCTTCGTTTAGCATGTAATGCAAATCTCGCCTTCTACAGCTATAAGTCCTTGAAGCTGTCGATTTGCTACTAAACTGTAGGAAGTGGTGCACAAACTGCTCTTGGATTACTGAAGAAGCAATAAGCAATGAGACTTTGTACGGAAATGGCGAGATTGCTCAACTTCTGGTTCCGTTTTAATAAACTGCAAGTATGAAATGCAACTAATTTTTGACTGCTCCTTGTAAAATGTTTTCACGGACAAGTTAGGTTGGCTGTAGTTTTCTTAGCAAAAAGCTGTGTAAAGTGAGAGGCAAACAGTTTCACTGGCACCAGTCATCAGCAACAAACACTGAACGAGTAAAAAATATCGTTCGAGGACAAGTCAGATTTTAGGAATTGCCTGAACGATGGTTGCTTGTGGCTTAGAAAAAACTCATGTTTTGCAGTTTGTGCAGCTAAAGCAGCCCTCAGCCACTTTAGAAGTTGTGTAGCCAGGATTGCTGGATGTGCGGCTTGCTGGGATCGACGTTTCGGATGCGGGCTCAGAGTATCTCACGAAAGACATGCGTCTGAGGAGTACGAGCATTTTGTTCACAGCTATCAGACCAGTTGAGAATAATCGATGTATTGATGCCGAAGTTTTCTACAACAAGGTCAGCTTTCCCATTATTCTCATAACATTTGAAATTCCTTCGCAAATTTTCAGTTTAATGAAATTATCCTGGGGAAAAAATAGATATTGTTGGCGAAAAATGGATTTTATTGAGATGGAAGGTGGTGAACTAAAGGTGCTTGGAGTTTTCTTTGAATCATACAGACAGACAGGAATCCCGGGTAATTAACTGAATATAGCCTTGAGCATGGATGAATCTGAATTGCAACGGGAACATACTGCTGACAGCTGCTGGATCCTCCACCGCGGAAGTGATGTGAAGTTGCATTTTTTGAAGAAGTACGTATCAGGATCCGAGGGCATGACGTGGGATTCTGAGTGCTTCATGGTAACACCGAGGTTTCGTGTATGCTTCAAGCGATTTCCAACCCGTTTTGTTTGTTTGCTGCCATCCGACATTCTTTATATGCTTAAAAACGTTTTAGAGTCGATTTGTACAGACGAATTTGAATGTGGATTTGGTGCGCCGTGGCTTTGCTCGTGTTTTGCCACTGACCAGTGATGAGCATGTCGAAGCGCTGAAGACAAACCCCTCATATTCCAGGCTCATTTCGAAACTGATCATGTCGGAAAAGGTGTTCTAACTTTCTCGGCAAAAATTTTGTTTTTAGTTCCTCTTTTCTTGCACCGTTTCTGAAAACTTCTTTTAAAGATCGCGGATCGTCGTGGATTGGGGCTGTGGACGCGCGACACATGGGCTGAAACAATAGCATCCTACCCGTCCATCCTCAAACAGCTCATTCTCTCTGCAGCTATAACAAGATTTCTGGTAAATTTTTTGATTTCCAACACTCTTACATGAGTGGCTTCCTTTTTTTGGAACTAATTAATAAATAAGCTAAAAGCTGGTTTGAGCTCCTGCGGGCCAGAGTACTGTCAAAATGCACGGACGAATCGTTGAACTTGTTGTTCTGCTGGTTGATTCGAACCTTCACTCTTCAATCTCGGAACAGCGGTGCTTGTTAGTGCACGAAGCTATCCGCCTGAGTTATCACTTTTAAAGTAATCAAATTTGTCAGCCAAGTCACCTCTCCGGTTGTTTTTTATCACATGATTATTGCAGATATCAGCAGTGCTTGTTAGCAAGGAAATGGCTATAAAAGGAAGCCATCTTTCACAACGTGCCATTAAATTCCTTGTTGCCCTCAGTCACAGTGTCTTTCTTATCCTGCAGCAGTTCGTTGGCGCTTCGCTGAAATTGGGCAGCACGGTGAAGCGAAGGATTAATCAACGTTTGTCCAAATAGTTGAACTCGGTGCTTAGGACTCTTTGAATGGGATTTGACATGTTATTTTTTTTTTTGCGTTTATTAGATCGCAGACTGTTTCTGTTTTTTCGTTGTAAATTATGCGCTTGTTTTAATAAAAAGTTTTTTTTGTGGACAATAAATTGTTGGTTTTTTTCGAAATGCTGTTTTTAATCAGCGTGTTATACCTACAGGTGAACATCGCATGCATCGCTGATAGCGAACGTGGTGTTGATGTAGCATACGGACACGCACATGTGCCGTTGAAATTTTTTCTGCGTTATTTTGACTTTCCCGTTGTATTTTTTGTTGACTTTACATTTCGAATTGACTTCATTTTTTAGGCCTCCAATGGCGAATTTTGAGAAGATAGTGGTGCAAGCGGGGCCGAAA